TTTACATGTTAAAAGCAGAATTGAGGAGACTGTTTGGTGCAACACTTTTCTCCCGGCAACCACGATTAATGACCCTGATTTTCTGCTCTTTTGGGAATGCCGTCTTATATCATTGTTTGCCAAGGTAGAGAGTTCTGCTCTACGCCACCGGCAGCTCATTTCGGTCTCCAATAATTGCATATGCCGGAAATTGTATGCAGTGAAAATACTCCTTAAAACGTCATTTAGCGCATTGCTATCGCGGCTTTAAGTATTTTGTCTTTTCTATACCATTGTTGGCAACAAACATTTCCTGGACATTATTGTTGTTTATTGATTCGTTTTGCGGTAATTTGTGTGAATTTGTAAAAACGTGGTAATTCGTAATTGCCAGAAATTATCATTTCAGTTTGAATAAGTCATAAAAATTTATTGTTACGATGGTTGGTATTATCTCTTATATATTTTTTTCGTATATTTTCGATTTTATTTTAAAATCTTGAAAAATGCCGGCAAAACACGTTGTCTGCGTTTCGCGCGTTTAAAATTTTCTCACATAAATTTTTTTCAGTAGATTGTGTAATTAAATCTCAAAATTATCTTTCTATTTTGTTACCTTAATTTTTTTATCTATTGAATTACGCATATATTTATTTTAATCCATTCCTATTTATATATGTATAAGTTTTATAGTGCTGAACAATGTTGCAAATTTGTTGTATGTTATCTAATATTTAATATATGTTAAACTCTTAACAATTTTACAAATTAATTCAACACTTATTGTTTTTGCGATTTCGATTTAAACTAACAATGTCAACCCGTAATCAGTTTAATTCCTAATTACAAAAGCAATTCATTTATTTTCTTGTTAGTTATTATATTACACAAGTTATATTTATTATTAGGGTTAGCCAAACCTTTAAGCTATTTTCTATAAATTTGGAGTTTCCTGGGCTCCATGCTATGTTTTTCTCATTTAAATGAATTAAATAGTTCACTTTTCCACTGAGTGTTTTCACAAAGCCATTAAATAGCTTTACCCTTAGTAGGTTGTCTATTTCTTAATTTGTTTGTGTAAGTAAAGTTGGAGAATCGGCCATTTAAGGTATTGTCGCTATATGTGTGAAATTTTTTCATGTTGCATTAAACTATTAAATGTTTCTTAGTATATCACAAGAAATTGAAATAATTTCCCATTTTTAATAATATTATAGTAAAAATGATATAATTATCCACTGTGTTTTATTTAATTTAAACGTATTTCCTTTAGACAGAAGAAGTAAATCCAAAAGCTTATCCCTTAGCTGATGCTGCTCTAACGACTAAGATACTGAATTTGGTTCAGCAAACTGCTAATTACAAGCAGTTAAAAAAGGGTGCCAATGAAGGTATATAAACTTTTGTATAATAAATAGTGATTTGTTATTTAATTTGCATGTTTTTAAACTAAAAAATAATAATAACTTAGATAATTAAGGATTATTTCGTACCTTCATCTTTTTGTGCCAAATATAATAACCCAAGGTGGAAACGGTTTTTATGAGTTTACCTGTATTGTTCTCTGGTTGTTGCTTAAGTAAAATGGCGTTTTTGGAATTAGTACCCATAGCTACTGAAATCTTCCCATTAATTTTAATTGTATTGTAATCAGGGTTGGCAAGTTTTTGACACATGACGGTTATTACCATGGTTTTTACCGTCATGTCAAAAACCCATAGTTTGGATAAAACTGTATTTTTATTTGAGTTTAACTGCTTATAATTTAAAATTAATTCATTGTTTTTGGCAATAAAATTTAAAACAAAGTTGCTAAAAGATATTTAAAAACAGATTCCTGCATTTTCCCCAACATGATTATATCAAAACATACTATTTGAAGTAAAATATTAGGATACCAATCAAAATTTTCAACATTTCCAAGCATCATTTTGTTTGGCATATTACATTACTGAAGAATGTCAAGATTGATTACTTTCATTCATAAAATCTTGCTTTGAGAAACACATGTACACATAAAAACATAAAAAGAAAGCCTCATAAAATAAACTTTTTCTTATCATTTTTGTTTTCAATATTTTACACAGAAATGAGACATGAAAAAGCCTGGGAAATCCTTTTAGAGTTTCCTTGCAACATTGCACTAACCTTTTGTTATCATTATTCTCGAACTTCGGACTCATCCATACTAAACTCAGAAATCGACTGGGCAATGAAAATTTCTCAAAATTAGTCACTTACTATCGTATGATTCGGCACAGTGACCCCGACTACTGAACATATAATTTTGTTTGTAATTAAGTTTTGTTTAATGTGATTTTTCAACTGAATAAAAGCTTTTCACTTGACAAAATAGCAGTAATTCTTGACATAGAGTTTGTTAGTAGTTAGAAGTTTTGTTTAGCTTATTTCTAATATTTAAGAAATGCCAAATTTTAAATTCTTCATTTTAGTTCCTGAATTTATTAATAGTTCCAAGCTTTTTTGTTTGTTTGTTTATTTCTAACAATTAAGAAGTGCAAAATTTTGAATCCTTTGCAAATCAAGCTATAATGATAAAAGTAAGTATCACTATTTTCAATAAGTATATTACAATATTTCTGTATGAATGTTTATCCTTCTATAAGAATACCTGTATATAGTTGCAAAATCAATAGCAATCATTTACAACATTAATTTATAAAGGCAATTATGTGAAAATAATATATTGTCCGCTATATGCCATAAATAAAAGAAAACAGTAGGTTTTTGACAGTTTTTACCGGTTAAAACACGGTTTTTCCACTGTCGTGTCAAAAACCAGTTTTTGACGGCAAAAACCCAACCCTGATTGTAATATAATGTACTGTTTTATCATTTTGCTGCAGCATGATTACACTCTTACTTTTGAGCAACAGTGACTACAACAAAACTGTAAAATTTCTGTTTTTAAGCTCGTTGCAATTATTTATTATATTAATGTTAAGTTATAATAGTAATTTATTTTCAGATTTATTTGTAGGGTTGGTTAAGTTTTGATTATCACTCTCTTCCTTTTTTGTATTTTAAAGCCTCTGTATTCAGTGTATATGTCGCAATATAAAATAATAATTGTCAGTTTCATTTGTGTTCCGAATAGCGTAGCAAATTTCAAAAAATTTAAATATTTACTTTTTTCACCTGTCATGCAGAATGAAGACGCAATGCTACTCTCAGAAAATTTCAAAATTTAAAAAAAATGGAGACAGGCTTTAAAAAAATTCTATTTTTATGAGGTAGTGAGATTTTTTCCCCCCACAAAAGATTAATTTTTTGATGAATCTCTTGAACGATGAAGTTTTTTGCACATTGAAGAAGATTTTTCACAAAACGCATTTTAAAAGTATTGAGGCAAACAATGTTAATGATTTTGAAGATTTGCTTTTAATGATTTCGAAGTCAGCTTTGTAAGAAATATTCAATTAAAAGCGCCTTCAATAACTGTGGCATCAATTAGGTTATCAGAAAAATCTGTGTAGGAACCTTGATGTCTGTATACAGTGTTTTCACAACAGTGCGAGAATCTCGAATTTTTCTTTTCTCACATTAAAAAATTATTAACACGAGAAATTCGCATATCTATTAATCAATTTCAAAATTCGCGAATTTCTCACATTTTGGAAAAAGCTTCGCATTACGCCATTTAGAATAAAATCCGTTTCACTTTTCTTGGATCTTTCATTATTTTCAACACCTGCCCCGTTATATAGCTTCCCTATTTACCAGTATTGCTCAGAACCTTTTCGAACAACAAAACACTACCCCTCTGAACCACGGAACCCCTTTCAGAACACATTTCTCTGCAACCACGTGTTTACCGAAGGTAAGGTTTATTCATGTAAGATGTTCGAATTTTTTATGCACTAATGTAAGATGAACAAATACCTTGCAAAAGCAAAATCTTCTATGATGATACAGCAAAAATGTTCAATGCTTTAAAAAATAGAAGACTGTATAAATGTATTATAATATAATTAAAGAAAAAATTTTTTTTTCAAGTCTGTGTTTTTAGTTTTTAAAAATCTCACTTAACTGTTTGAAATCTCACCCTTTTTTTGAGAAAGGGTGAGAAATGCTCACCCCTTTTTTTTCTATGATAAAAACACTGGTATATTAGATTGGGTAAAAAAAAAAAAAAAAATTGTGTTTCGGAATTGTTTAGAAAATGCCTATTGTAAGATAGGAATGCAGAAAAGTTACCTATTGTAAGTCACGAGTGATGGTATTCCAGGTTTTTCATACCATCCTTCCCGGTTTAAAATCTAGGAGTAAAGCAAGTTATTTTTACGGAATTTCATGTATCTCAAGGATGCAAATCAAGTTTCGCTGACTTTGAGGTAAACCACAGTAGTTGAGAGAAAGAAAAAAGTGAAAAATACTACTGTGCTTCTAGTTCTGTTTTTCGTCTTTTTTTCCTCACTTGATTTTTCTAATTTTCTCAACCTTATTTTTCCATTTTTCATTGCCAGTCTTACGTTTAATGTTTCAAATCACTTTTGTTTCTTCTCATTCACACCTGGCAAGTCTTGAAAATGGGTGCTTATTTTTTAGCGTTCTGAAATATGTCTACTATTATTTCCCATTTCTCAAGCAAATGAAACACTTAATCAAGTCATATCAACCATTGTGTATGTCTTAAGATCTTTTTGTCCATATTTGATGCCAGGAATAGATAATTGAATGCTTTTATAGGTGCTTAAATAAATTTCTATTAATTATACACTTTTTTTAATTACATTTTTTAGCTACTAAGACCCTTAACCGGGGATTAGCTGAGGTAATTGTATTGGCTGCAGATGCTAAACCTCTTGAAATATTGTTGCACCTGCCACTGCTTTGTGAAGACAAGGTAAATATATTTTCATATTTCAGTTCAGTTTATAATTTATTTAATAGTAAGCAAATTATTCGTGTAATGTAGTATTTCCTCTTACTCAAGCAGTCTGGCTTTGTTCAAATGACAAAATTAAACTTATCTTGATTAATGATTTTAATAACTTTACTGGTTTGAATCATTAACACAAATTTTATTGGTAAAATTGTAGCTGTAGTTTTGATATCAATTTCATTATTAAAAATACAAGGATATTGCTAGTATATAAACTCATGAATGGCCTTATCAATAATGGGATATATTTTAAGTTTTTTGTAATGACTTGGCACTTGTATGTTTCATTTCCATATTTATTTCATGGCTTATTATTTCCTTTTTTTTTTCAGAATGTGCCATATGTATTTGTAAAGTCAAAGCATGGTAAGATATTTTATTTTATTTGGTGTGAATTATACTTTATTTACTGGTGTTGTATAATAATTATACATGTTATAATTATCCTCTTTTGTTTTTATATCACTGTTTTAAAATTAATTTCAAGAAAACATATAATGTAGAGAAATCTGGGAACCCTTTTATTTTAATTTTTTGTATAAATATTTGTTTTTATCTTAAACAACTTTAAATGAAATGTTTTTTTCTTTCTTTCATTTAATTTTCCAATTATTTTGGGTTAGTAAAAAATTCTAATGAAACAACTTTATAAAAATGTACAAATTTTTTGAACTTTAATTTGATATCCATTATGAGCATAGTTTTTTTTTTTAACTTTGTTTTTCACAAGGGTTGTAAAATAAGATCTAAGAATTATCTTGGTCTACTGATTTATAAACTGCTGATTTTCAGTACCATTTTTAAAAAGGCTACACGTCATTAATATTTTAAGCTTCATATTCAGTTGTGCGACTCTTATAAATGAGTATCATCTATAGTATTTAACAAAATGTTCTGAATTCATAACTTAAAACCTTTTTTAAAATTCAGAGAAAAAAATTTTTTTAATTCAAAGAAAATTTTTTTTTAAAATTAATGTAGAAGATAAGAGTAACATACCTCTGTATTAATTTATAACCATGGTTGAACAGGCAACCCAATTTTGGGGGGGTTTGCGACTGCTGATGTTTAACTTCGTATCCTTGTAATTTTGTATCCAATCCAGAAGATAGGGCAATCCCTGGATCAAGTAATGGGAGACATTTGCCTTCGCGAAGGACTTTTTGATGGAAAAAACCTGCATTTACTTTGCACGGATTTTTGCATCAATGATCAGTTTACTTTCAATTTGGTTTAATTCCTATTAATTGTAACTTTAATTTTTTGGAATACTTCTTTTTTATGAAGACATAAAATTTCTACATTAATTCCTATTGATACATTACTAGTCTGAGCAATAATGTTGAAATGATAGTTCTCTTGTGCATGTTAATAACTGCTTATAGTTCACTTTTAGCTTTTTGTTCGGCTTTAATAAAGAATCTTTGGTGTAAGTAACAGTTTATTAGTCTGTCGTCATGCGCATGTACTAAAAAAAACTTGAAATAAGTAAATAATTTTAATGTTATCGTTTTGAGATGAATAGTATTTAATTCTGTTTTATATATTTTTTCAAGGTTTAAAGTCAATATTTTTTCCCGCTCTCATGCCTGAGAATACTATCTCCCCAGACATTCCAAGCAATATTGAAAAGTGTAATTTTAAAATATAGTGATAGCAGTGATTGTTTCTATTAAAATATTTTTTTTTTCTTTTTTAGATTTCAAAAAAAAAATATTATTCCTGTATTCCATTAAATATTCTTAAGTATTTTTACATTTTAGCTCTTGGACGTGCTTGTGGAGTTTCAAGACCTGTTATTGCTTGTTCTATCACTGCAAATGAAGGATCACAGTTAAAACCGCAGATACAAGTATTACAGAGGGAAATTGAGAAGCTCCTTGTTTAATGTTCTCATCTTTTCATTTTGTATCATAAACGACATGAATTTCTGAATGTATAGAATTTGAAATGTGTATAAAATTGTTTTATCAATTTTTCTCATCACAAAGTGTTATTGCATTTATTTTATAATGGGTATTCATAGGTTTCACATTTACTGAATTATGTTAACAGTAGACAATATCCAGTTTCTATTTGAATATCTGAAGTAGGCCTGCAGAAAAATCTTTCAGAAAATACAAGTTTTAAAATCGCAAACCTTTAAATATAGGTAGATTTTCAGATGAAATAATTCACTGTTCGGAAGAGAAAAAAATCCTATTAATTTCTGTATGCAAGTTTCAACAGAAAATAATGGGATTTTTTTCCGAATGGTGAATTATTTAATAAAACTTTTAAATACTGGAGAGATTTTTCTAGTTGGTAGTTTTACATTTTTATTCTACTAATGTGAGGACGTTTCAATGATTTTCTATGAAAGAAGAGTGAAATGGAATTTTTAATCCCGAGTTAATAAATTGAAATAGATTTTCTTGTCCTGTTGCCACTGAATACATTGTACATTTACAAATGATGTAAAAAGTACTCTTATTCTTTGTTTTAGGCAAATCTGTACTGGAATCCTAATAGCCATGGAATTCAAATATGTCAATCTCCCCCCCCCCTCATCACTATGCTGTTTTTCATAAGAGAATCCTCGTATTTTGCTACTACTTATTTATTGAATTTTTCATGTTTAGAACCTTGAGTTTTTTTAAAAATGTTTCTTTTTTTCACTTCAGTACAGGAATTACTGAAACTATTACCAATTGTATATCGGTGAATCTATGTTGGTATCCTGCAAATTGCTACAACAACTAAGTACCCGACTGGGTAAAACTCTGCAATTCTGGCAAAATTTTCTTTTTTTTTACTATTTATGTTTGGATTTCCGTTTATTATAGTTCCAAAACCTTTTTGATTTCTGATTTTTAGAAATGAAGTTATAGTACAGGGTTCCCACGGTCCTTAAAAGTCCTTAGAAACTGCTTAGTTTTTATTTTGAAAATTAAGGGCCCTTAAAAGTACTTAATTTTGATTCACCGTCCTTAAAAGTCCTTAATTTCTAGTATCACTAGTTGGTTGGAACAATTTTTTTATCTTAGGAAAATATCCACAATTAAAAAGTACGTCTTTCGCCTAGAATGAGACCCTGCATTGAGGGTAGAATATTTTGAATGTGTGTGAGGGTAGGGGTTACAAGCAAGAGGAAAAAAACACGTCCTTATTGTTTTTTTTTCTTTTATTAATTTTTTCATTAAAATATTTTTTTCTGGATCACTCTGAAAGAAAAAAATTTAATGTGGGGAGAGGGGAGCGTGATACTGCAGGTGGGTAGAGGTCTTGACTTATTTTTAGACAGTACTTAGAGGTACTTTATCAGCTGAGGACCTGCATTGACCTTCTACATCCATAGGTTTCGAGAAATTTAATTCTTCTGAAAGCACACGTGGTAGCTTTGATACTTCCTTCAAATGTGAAATTGTTAGAAATGCCAGGAAAGTGTGTTTTTAATAATTTATGGACACTTGATAAAAAATATAAGGAATGGATCAGCATCTAGTGATCGTCGCAAGGCAAAGTGGATTTTTTTCATTGTATCAGATTTTCTTCTGAAATTGAATTTATAAGTGACTCCATTTTTTTAATATTAGGGATATTACGAATATTCGGCGAAGTATAATTTTAATCAGGAAAGTCATTTTCGTCGTTTTCTCATCGACACTTTTTTTTTAAAAAAGAGTGAAATGTTTGCTTTCTGTTTTCACTTTTGTTGGGTTTTTTTATTTCATAGCGCGGCAATTTAACAGCGTTTCTTATATATTTTATCTCCACTTTTTCTTTTAAAGTTATCAGATAAATAGATAACCGGTAAAATAGAAAATTGAATTTGTACGTTGCAAGTTTTGTCTTAAGAATTTAGGAAAATTTTCTGTTTCTCTTTTGCTTTTTTGATTAATTGTGTTTTTTTTATTTATTTTGATAGCATATTTTAAAGAGCTTCTTTTTCGTCATTTTTTCTAAAAATCCGGCGATGGGAAACACTTAAAGTGTATTTTTCAACGTTAAATTTTTCTTATAAAAATTGAGAAAGATTTTTTTGTTTTTATTTCGTTTGGCTTTCCCATTTTTTTTTATTTTTTAAAAAAAGCTCTTGTTTTTGTTATGATGCGGCAATTTTAAAGAGCGCTACTCTTAGACATTTTTAAATCGATGCATCGCGATTTATCGACTTAATGCACATATCGGCAGGCCGATATAATTACTTTTATTTTAGGCAATGCATCAGGAATCTGATCTAAGACGCTCGCGGTTTAACGTGCTAGGATTCTTGCCTATGCTAACGCTATCACCACTCTGACGTAGACTATTTTGATTTCGTCTAGCTGCGAAGATGTTGATTACATTTTTAGCTACGAAGATGATGTTCGGTTCATGATATTGAATAACGAAGAGTGAGGATCAGCGTTGAAATATAGAACGCGATGCATAGTTTCCTTATGCGCCATTTTTGACCTCGGGATTTTACGTTTCTTGAAGATTATTTTCAGCGGGACTTACCTTTCGTTCGCTGTGCGTTTTATTTCGACTTGATATAACATTTCAAAAAAAATTTTTTCAGTGAGACTTTTGCTACTTAGCGATCATTGCGCATTATTTCGTCACTTTTTTTTCTGTTTGGATTTAACGTTGTCAATTATTTTCAGCAGACCCACTGTTACTTGGCGATCGTTGCTCAATCGCTGTTATCTTAAATTTTCGTTCTGAACTTAATATATTACTGAAACGAAATCGTGAATTAAAAAAAAAGATTCTTTATTGATTTTTTTTTAAAGTGATACAGTTTAATATTTTATATATTTTGTATTTAAGTAATTTATATTTTATCATAGAAAGTAAATTTTTTTAAAAATTTATTTAATTCACGTTGCACTCCAGAGCCCAAGGTTAAGAAAACTGAGATGGACACAGTAGGCCTTGGCCCTCTATGGGCTGTCGCGCCATTGAGTTTAGTTTTTTAAATATAATAATTTGATTAGTTTTTAAACCAATAAATCTTCAGTCGCTTTTAGTTTAAAAAAATTAGAACAAAGCCTACATTTAATTAATTTGCTTTTATTTTTGAGGAAATTGAAACAGAGTTAGCGTTCTTTCTTTTTTTTTTTAATTTGGTTGTTATTTAAAATGACTAAATTTTTTAAAATTAAGTAATAAGTTAAGCAATGTTTTAACGCTTTTCAGTAATTTAATAATAGTGCTCTTAAATATAGAATATATATACAGTACAGAACTCGTTATCTGGAATTCAGAAAACCGGAAAACAAAAAAACCGGAACGAAATTCGATACATTTCCCCCCCATTTTTTTCAAATGTTTTTTTTTTTCCTCATAAAATTTTAGGATTTTTCTTTCTTTTTTGAAAGATGTTTACCTTACAGTCATTTTGGAAATAATCATTAGTGTATTACATTATCGTTTTTTCTTCTTTTTAAGATTATTAGCAAATATTTTTTTTAGTTGGGTTTAACAATAAAAAAACGGCTTTTTCTAGCGATGGTCCCGATCGTTCCGGATAATTGGTTCCCTACTGTATATATATTTTTAAAAATCCCTTCAATACATGTTCGTTTCATAATTTGTTTGATAGTGAGTATTATTTTTAAACATTTAAATCTTTATTCTTTTTCATTTTCAGAAAGGAAAATAATAATAAATAAATAAAAATCTTACATTAAAACCATTTGACCATTAGTCAATACAACTTTATTATTTTAAATAAGTAATTAACTAAAGCCTAACAATGTTTCAAAAGCACATTTATTTTTCAACAAATAATTTAAAAAATGTTTTATTTAAGTGGGCATTTTCTTTTTTTTTTAATTTGTAATGTATGTAAAATATTTTGTAACAGTTTTATTATTATTTTTAAAAAATCTAAGTTGTTTTTAATTTTAAAAAAAATTTAAATAAAGCTTGTGTTTGTTTTTACTTTAAGGCAAGTCAATCCTTAAGACAGTCTTAAGTCAATCCATCTTTATTTTAATTGAAAAAATTAAGCAATGCTATTGATGTTATAGAATAAATTTTTTTTTTAGAATTAACATTTTCTTTTGTTATAAATTTATTTTTGATTGATTTAAAGATCTCTCATTGATAAATTTCAAACATATGTTAAATTGCGATACATCGCGATGTCTGACTGACGATCAATCACGATATAAAATTTCTTACAATGCCCAGGCCTATTTTTACATAAACAATAAAAATTCTTAAGGATTTTTTTTTAAAAATGTTGTTTGATCACTGGGTAGGTGGCCGTTTTATTTGGCCAGATATTTGACTATTCGACCAAATCACTATTCATTATTCCCTATTTTATAATAAGTAATATATATATATATAAACCATATTTGCATCCAATTTTCATTGCCTTTGATTTATTTGACAAATTATTGTTTTATAATTTCAGACAATACTTTATTAAGAACAAATTTTTTTTATCGTCGATTAATTTAGTTCCTTTAATTTCTATACAAGACACAATACTTTTTAATTGGAGAAATTCTAATTCCATCTTTTTTTATGAATGATGTTTCTGATTCCACTATGTTTTGCTGTTTTTTTCCCTTCATTCACAATAAATTTTGTACTTAATGAATTATTTCATTTCATTTTCAATTTTTAGATATGGAATTTTTTCATTTTTATTTCAATTGATCATTACATCCTGCCTTGTCCTGTGTTTCAATATTTATGTTAGCACTTATTTTAATTATCATTTCTGTTTCTCAATTCTTAATTTTAATTAATAAGTTTTCCTTGTAGTTTATTTATTTCTTTTTTCCTGATTATTAGGTACTGAATATATTCTGATTTTAATCATTAAATTTTTTATATTTTGTGATTTTAATAAATCTTTAGCTTATTATAATTAGGTTTTACTTGGTTTAAAATAATTGTCTTAACCTCAATAAACTTATATTTGTTAGTTTCTTTAATGTTAGTTTCTTTTTATTAATTTAATGAATTTACCATCTTAATTTATATATTTCTATCTGTTAACA